GTTTAACCCGCAACCAAATCCGTCTTGTGCGTTGTCGCCTCACTTAGTCGGAGAACAGTGACAGATTTTATGTACACTGTCCAAATGTTGAACGAATGAGTGAACATTTTACACGCATCAATTACACTCTTATTACAGTCCAACCGTATTTACTTACCAAATTGAATTTAATAACCGCTCTTAAATGTCACAATAGTAAATTGAAATATAGTTTTCAATTCGAAAATGGTCAAATTTACAAAAAGAACATTTCAAAACTACTATTATTTATTCTCTCAACTGTTTCGGTAGCTAATGCTTGTTGTTGTGTGTGTATTCTTTTCCATTCTTTAGACGAAAATACCACAAAATAATGTGTGGTCTGCACGAATGAATAACGAAATCACGAACCTTATCTTGGCTTAAATTCCGTATTATTTTTCCAAAGTTTTTTTTTAAATTAAGACTTTCGATGGATTCAAAATTCCAATCGCGTGACGAACACACATCGCACAGTTAAACTGTCTCATAATTGTTGATCCCAAACGCTCTTTCAGTTTTAATTCACATGATTTAATTTTTTGTTTCTCTGTTCATTTCATAATAGAGTCATTAAAGTAAATTATGTGATTGTTTTGTGTTGCTCTCCTTTTTTTTCGTTGTTGATTAAATTTATGTGGCATTTCACTTAAAAATTGATTTAAAACATGGATACAGGACAGGAACTGAAGTGAAAGAATAAATATTTAGTTCAAGAAAAGATGTCAAATTTCATGCGCTGGAAGTAATAAAAGTAATTTTGATTCAGGGGATTTATGTGATCTTCAGTCGCTGTGAAACAATGGGAGATTTTTGCCGACTGAGAAGATAACTGCATAAACAATAAAATGTTTTATTACGCCGTTTGCTGCCATAAATGATAATGGAGTGTGCAGTGTGCACAAATGAAGTGGCTCAAATGATGAAATACGATTGTGTGTGTGTGTGAGATGTCTTGCACAAAATCGCCTTAATGGAGTAATCAATGTCAAGCAGAAACGAAATGATGGCCAAAGTAATACCAACACATAACAATTGAAGCATAACCAATGAACAAGGCCAATTAAAATCCGATTGAACGCCAACGCGCCGCAAACTACAATGCCCATAAATTCTTGTTTCTTTTTTTTCAATTTATCGAACAGCAACCAACGAATATTCGAATGAAATGTTACAATGGACGCAGCAAGAGAATCGGTCATTTATCCTCAAGACCGAATGACTGATGAATGGGCAAATTGAATAGTACTTCGAACAGAACATTAAATATTATTATTTATGAGCTATTTTTATAATTCAGTTATGTGGGCTTATTGCAAATAACTGTCAATGCGAACGCTCTTCACTTTTAGAACGGCCAATATGGCTATTGGATACGATGTATCGGAAGAAACCAAAATTATTGACCGCGTTGACACTTCATTTGAAGCATATTCAATAACGTTTAGATAGCAAAACTAATGGGCTGAAATCGAGGGCTAAACACAATTTCCAATCGAAATAAAGTCTCCTACAATTGTATGAATAAATTGAGTCTTGGTAAATATTCAAGGTTGAATTTGATTCGGTTCCTACAAAATAAATGTAAAAACGCCACAATCTACTTAAATGGCTTGTTTTTTTTGTTCTAAAAATAATTAAAGACATATTATGATCCAATAAATTTTTTTTTCTGAGTTTCAACAGTTACTAACATATTATATTGAATCGAGTTTTAACTTGATCTAAACACGTATTAACAGGTTGCGGCATATTGTGAAATACATTCTTATCAATTGTAAAATGTATTATCATTTACTTAGAAGGCGACAATGAAAATGTCATTAGCAATAGTTGTCAATGCGCGATCAATTTGCTTCGTCTAAAATAATTCAAATTAGAAATTAGCACAGTTGACTTATAACTTATAGTTTATTTAAAAAAAACATATTTTTTTTATCATCGTATCAAATACATATATGAAAACTTTTGATATATTAGCGGCAAATGAGTCTCTTACTCTGAGAACATGTTACAACTTGAGTGAAATCCCAATCGATTTCTGTAGTTAGACTTAAGAAGAAGACTTAATTCCAGTTTATAATTTTTATGGGGAATTTTACACTTTCAAAGGTTCAAATTCAAATCGTGTAAGAAGATAATTCCAAATTACAATCCAGGTCTTTTGAAGTGAATGCGTTGGGCTACTGGGATGCATGAAATCGTACTCTTGCAAAAAGTCAATCGCTTTTTCTTCAAAATCTTCAATTGTTACCAGTGAAAGTTTCCGAAATTCTCTGATTGTCATCTTAGCTGGTTTCAAAGCGTGTTTCAGATCGGGGAATGATTCTTCTATTATTGCCAATCTTGACATTATTACCGATTCTTCTTTTGCAGTAAATGGTAGAACAGTACTGAAATTGGATAGGATATAAATGAAATGTGTTGTTTAAATTGTATAAATACTGAAGAAGAAGAACTGAATTCACCAAAAATACTCACAATGGTCGTATTAGTTGTTCGCCTTTTTTGATGGGTCGAAGCACTTCCCAAATCAGCTGATCATCAACCATAATATCAATCACATTTGGAGCAGTAAACGCATCGATTCTTATAACGTTTCCAAATAAATACATTCCAGTTGCACATGTGTTGTCATCGTAATCCATAGCATTTTCTTCTTCGCCTTTCATCAAAAATTCCCTCATTTCATATGGATGATTACATAAAAAACATAGATGTAGCATAAAATGTTGCAAAATACGACGATGTTTCGGTTGTTTAAACTTTTCCCGTAGATTTGGACTCGAAAATGCAACCGCATTATAGCAATTATTTCCAAATGCCTAGGGTATTTCAATATTTTGGTAGTTTAACTAGTTTTACAAATCTTATCGCGATTCTTATCATTATTTCCCAAATGTTAACAAAAAAAAGTAGCAAACAGCCAATCGCAGTCGGTTTTTTTCGAGCAAAATTTATGGAATTTCGAAAGAAGTCGAAATATTCTGTTGGCATGGTATCTTTAATTTTGCGAAAAGCTCATGTGTCCAGCGAGTCTCACGAATCAATACGAAACATTTTGGAGATAATAAATGATGAAATTGATTCATAATTGAGATTATATATTCAATCAATCTGTACAAATTTAAAGCAGATTTACAATTATTTTAGAATCAATCATAGCCAATACACATTTTCTAAGTGAGTCGGATTGCCTGACATGTATCGGAGAATGGGGAGAGGCACCATTATTATCTAATGTACGAAAAATAACAAAAATGAGCATTGGATCAAATGAGTCTGAAACAACTTCAAAAATGTAATCATCAATGTTTTAATTTCGATTAATTTTTTGCATTACACATTTTTCCCTTGGTATGAGTTCAAATCGTGTGACAAGAAAGTTCCAAATAACGATCCAGACTCTTTGAAGTAATATAGATGCACTATTGGGATGGAAACGATCGTATTCTTGCAAAAACTCGATCGCATTTTCTTCATAATTTTCAATTGTTCCGAGTGTTAATTGTCGAAACTCTTCAACCGTCATAAAAGCTGGTTTCAAGCCCAATTTCAATGTCGGATACTCTGTGAAATTAACCTCAGGTTCTATTTGCATTTCGCATAAGCACATAATGCATTCACATTTGAAATGATATTTCACCAGCATTCTCCCTTGCCTTATTTGTGAAACTTCGTTCATAACAATTGGTTGCAAAATGCTGAAATGAGATACAATAGAAGTGATATAGTATCATGCAAAAATAATTTTGAAGAATTGCACAAATAGTAACACTCACTACGATCGAAATAGTTGTTCGCCTTTTTTAACGGGTCGAATCACTTGCCAAATCAGCTGATCGTCTACCATGTAACGAAGCACATTTGGTACGCAATTATGATTAATAAAGCTGCCGAATAAGTACATTCCATTTGCATATTGGTTGATGTTGTAGTCAACCGCACTTTCGTCGTCGTTTTTCATGAAAAACTCGTCCATATCATATGAATGCTCACATATGTGACATAGATGCAGCATAAAATGTTGCAAGAATCTGCGATGTTTCGATCGTTTGAACTTTCCCTTCAAATTCGGACTCGACAATGCAACAGCGAAAAAGCAATCATTAGCTATATTGCGTAGCTTTTCAGCTTGTTGGTCAGACATTTTTTCGTGGTTTGTAATCAATCGGAAAAATAGACAAAATTGCTTTTGCTCAGCACTTGTCAAATTAGTCACCGGTTCACCTTTCAGCAGAAGCTCAACTGTTGTCATCAATACATCGATATCCGGGAAAGCTTCGTTTATTTTGAAGAATGTTTCCAAAACGAGCCGGAATTTATTTTTATCCGGCTCAGGAACCCACAAGACACAGTGGTATTTATGGTATGACTTTTCCATACACTCCTCATTGCAATAAAGTGCACTCACGCAATTTGGACATGGTATAAAGTTCCTACATTCTTTGAAGCAGTGCATACAACGATCACGGCGCTTTGATTTCGATTCTGTGTGAGCAATTGAGTATGGTTGTTCAATTAAAATCGTTTGACCCACATTAAGATCGTGCGTGGTGACGACATGATGGCCAAATTCATCATTTTTCTCAATTTTCAAGCACTCAGCCACTCCAGAGAAGTCTTTATGCTCGCCGAAACTCAACGCTGGCTCGCGAGGACGTGTTCCATTCATTTGAATTTGTCCACGTGCCATCAAACTCTTCACCTGCACTACACGATTTTCTAATTTATGCATCAGGTTCACTGGATAATTCGACTTCTTGGCCATTTCGATGTCGATTAGACACTCTTCGAACATTCGCAAATAGAAAAAACATGATGAACGATTTGCGTATGCCAGACTCAATTCTTTTGAGTCACTTGGAGCCAATCTCAGTGCATTGTTGAATTTTATCATGGCTTCAAAATACTTTTCTTGCCCAAACAGCTCATTACCTTTTTCACGCTCCGCTTCAGCCTTTTCATAATTTTTACGATCTAAGGCATGTAACCAGATTTTAGCCGAACTGTCAGTAAATTCCCTGAATTCCCCAACGTTTACTTTCACTATGTTCGTATGTCTTCCATAACCTCTACCAGCAAATAAGTCAATGTATAAATCTGAATCTGCTGATCCTTCTTTTTTCCACAAAACCAAGTTTGACTGGGACATTTTGAATATTGTTTGACTAATTTGAACAGAAAACACGTAATGTTGATTCAACCAGAAAATGAATACAACTAATCGAGTTATTTAAGTATTGATTTTGAACACAGTAAATATGCACTTATCGGCATTAAAAGTCTTATCAGGACAAAATTTCCGATAATACATTGCTTTTTTTGCTGGCCTCAAAATCAACAGTGTGAAGTGACATCATTGAATTCAAGTGTTTTCATTGAATTGTTTGCTAAATTCATTATTAATCTTATTCGAAAGAATGTGTTAATTTTTAGCTTCTTACTAAATAATACTGGTAAATCGAAACACACACGTTTGATTAGTTACAAATCAACGCACCCAAAACATTGTGTCAATCCATGCAATCAAACTTCGGATAATCTTATTCAAAAGTATATTTTATTTCGGTCAGTGATGTAATATCATAAGTGCTCAAAATGATTTTGAACTTTTGACAAGATTCAAAGCGTAATCGTAATAAACCTAGAGTTCTTAATATTTTTTTATTGTTTTTCAATCTCAATTTGAATTACATTGCTCGATTTGCAGTTGGATTCTTCATAAGAATAAAAAAAAATCGCTTTTTTTAACAATTCAGTATCATTTTCAGACTTCATCAAAATAAAAATTCCTCCTTGAGAGTTGATCCGTGTTTTTTATTCGATTAGTGGAAAAACAAATCGCGTTGCAAGCAACGTCGACATGACTTCCAATATTTGTTGTGTTAGAATTGTGTCCATGATGGGGTGATTATTATCGAATTTCACGAATTTATGCGTATTCTCCCAATGCGAATCGAAATTTTCCCCTGGACAGCTGATTGGATTTTCTTTTTATGCCGGCAAGCAACAAATTTTAAATAGTTTCCTGAGAACTCTAACTATTCTTTTGAAACTCAACTTTGTATTTTGAACTTGTGAAACTTAAAGATAAATTCAAATAATTGATGAGATTTAATCAAATCGAATTTTGCATTTTATTTTTGAAGAAAAAAAAACATTGGTAGAATGAGTTATCAAAGACTACTTTTTATCGATCAACAGTTAATTTAGAGTCAATTACAACAACTATTTAACAAATTGTTCAGGCCATAGATCTTCCAGATATAAAATAAACCTCAAAATAAACTATGCCCAAAAAATGTGTGAATGAATCGAAACACAATAAACGTTTCGAAACATACTTGTTACATTGACAAATTGCGCAGTAAAACCGAGAGGCATTCGTATGCACAGTTGAAAGCATATCCTCTCCCGAAAATGTGGTAATGAAGGATTTACGTTCTTAATTGGCAAAATTCGAGAATGCTACAGCATGACTAATCGGCAAATAGTTGAGCGCATAGTTTTTACCCAATTCACACTGTCATTAATACAAAAAGAGACTTACCAACCCTCTCTGAATCTTTAGCATGCATGATCGATTTTAGGCTATGTGCTACAAATTGGTATTGGTTTTCGTGCTGAATTAGACAATATCATGCGGTCACCGGATGGATTTGCCAATAATAGGACATTGTTAAGATGAATCGCATTACTTCCATAGCAGAAAATCCATACTTTTTCTTTCGCTGTTTCTCTCTGAACATTTTCTTTGCAATTTGGTACAACACCATAATGCAATGTATCGCCTGTTTTGTCCAACTGGTTTCTGTTGGGCCGTATGTTTAATTTGTTCCGATTCTACTTTAGCGGCATTTGTCATGCAGTGTGAGAAATTGGTGATAATCGCCGTTCAAATTGCAAATAATGAAAAAGGCGAGGGAATGAAAGATATGAGAAAAAAAATTGCCCGGACACACACACACACACGTACGTTGCAAACTGCGTAAAGAGCACCGAACGAAACGGTCCATTTATCGCTGTCTCAATACAGAGACACAGTAGCAGCTTATAGCCGAATCTATCACAATTAAACGAGCATTATTTTTCATCGTTAATCCGAACAAATGTGCACGTGAAAGGTAGTCATTTCTTTGCCGAAAGAGGAATTAACAAAAGTCGAACACAGAATCGAAGTGTGAGCCGTTGCAAAAATGAAGATAAAGTTCAAATTGATGTGTTCAATGGAATGAAGCAAAGAAATAAAAACTCAGAAGAATTTGCCATTATTTTGCAATGAATATTTAAATATTCACGCAGATTTCGGATTGGGTGGAAGGCAGTTTTAATATATTTTATATAAAGTTTGCGTTGATTTATGGCCGTTTTTAATCAGAAGTATTCGTATTAAGGTTATTTGGCAAAAGTGCTCTTGAATTTTATCTACAAAAATGGAATCGAGCCCAATAAAACTTATTTGTTGTCGTCGCATAAAGAATACAATATTCATACAGAGGCAGGAGAGTAAAAAAATATATAGAAAAAGAGTACAAAATAGCTCATATTGCTTTATTTGCATTGAATCCAACCATTGGATAGTAAGCATTCTCTTCCGAATGAAAATAGATGGGTTTTCATAAAAAGCACACAAATATATGGCAAAAAAAGAGTATTCATTCAGATGTTATGCCGAAGTGTGTTGAATTATGATCCATTTTAGCAGTCATTTTGCGAAGTATCACAGTCATTATCAATGTTTCGTTATGCGCTGGTGTTCGGCATTTTTTATCATCTGTTGTGCACAGCACATCAAACACCACATAAAACTATGATCGAGTGGAGGTGCGTATATGGTAAACATGATAATAATAGATGAATGAATATATACGTGCGATGGTATGAAAAACTGAAATAGAGTGAAGAAAAAAATGTTGGAAAAAATAGTCGTTGAATGCATTTCAAAAAATGTGTTGCATGAAATACGGCCAGCCATACCGCATGTGGAACGGCAGCGCGAACGAAGAAAAAACAGAGCATTGCAACCAATAACGCTTGGGAAAACAGAGCGCGCGACTTTGGTAGCAAGAGAGAGAGAGAGAGAGAAAGAGAGAGAGGGAGAGAGAGAGAAAGTGAAAAAAAGGCATACACAACAACTGGCTAATGATAGTATATTTTAGCTTTGCACATAATAAATTGTACGTGACGTAATCTTAACACCCTCCGTTTTTTTCCTACTGCTTTTACTCCGATTGCACGTTGTCCATTTGATTCTATTAGGTATCGGGCTCGACAACCAAATCAAATGCAGTATCACCGGGGGAATGAAATAGTAGGCAGTAGGCAAAATATGATGTTGTGTCGAAATATAACGCAGCTCCCCTAACTAAATAAATCCAATGAAAGTTTCAGACCGGCTGCATATATCTATATCAATTTATTACTTTCACTATGAATTGTCGAGCGTTGATTGTGTTTTTCTCTACTGCTCTCTCTCTCTCTATCCCTCTCTGGATTTCTCGCTGTGTTTTTGGTATGATAGAAACCAGACCCATTGCACATTCAGCGACGGAGAAAAAGAGCAACGAAACGCCAAATATTTTCTCGATTTGACAACATTCTTGTCGTTAGAGAACACGATACATCGACACCATTAACATCCCTTCAAATTTCCAATGTAATCAAATATTTACGCAGTCTCTGACAGTTTTTAGGTTGGAGCAGAGTGTATATATTTGTCTTTGAATAAATTGTAGTTTGCTTGCGTGCGTGTGTGTTTGCAAAGTGAATTTTGATTTGGTCGAAGACTCATACACACTCACCCATGCATTTGCACCAGCTTGAACCGTGCAAAACTAATAAAACTCAGCATATAAAAGTAAATTGTCGATCGAATGATGTCAAATTCTTCCCAGTCAATTCCAAATAACGACTTGACAGCAGACTCTCTATTTTTTTTTTCTCAACACCAACACCAAAAATCAACACTCTATGCGTGCACAGAGTAATCGTTTCAATCTCAAGCGAAGAAGAAAAAATTGGGTAATATACCGAATTACATGGCACACACATGCATCATAAAAATGGCACTTGGACTTGGCGTCTCGGGAATTTCATTTGCAATCGAATTTTGTATTTTTTTTTTCGTCACCGGATTTTTTCTTCTTCGCTCTTATTCTCCTCTCTTCATCCGACACATTATATTAATATCATCGGATTCCATGCAATTCAGTCTTTATGTCATGTAGACAAATCGATTTTGGGTGTACATGGAATAAACGATTTAATAATGCGTTCTTTAATGACAGTGTACGAAGGAATACTAGAGAATTGCTCAATTGGGCTATGTGCGCAAAGCATTTTCGAAATATGGTAATCGGTCGGATTGTATTTCTCTCGCCGAATGATGCTGCCTGTGTGTCATTTGGTATGCCATTCGGTGTTCTTTCGTGTCGTTCGGTTTCAGGCGACACTTTTTATTTCTGCATTTTAGGCATACGTTTCGGCTGGAATATGGAAGTGTGAAGATAAAGCGCAGCATAGACGTTGAAATAGGATGCATTGATACCATCCATCCCGTATATATTCCGTGCAAAATGATCGCATTAAGTGGTATTTTAATCGGATTACCGCCACTTGGCCATAAATATTCATTTGCACCTAGCTTAGCTTTTGACAAGCATCGAAGGAATGGCCGGGCAACGACACAAAAAAACCAACCAACAGGGAGAGAAAATGTCTCGCTCTCTCAGCAAATAGAATGAAACGAAACAACAACAACGGAAAAAAAGCCCCGACCGAGATTTATAGTCTGATCATAAACCTCAAAGAATTGCCATGGCTGATAAAAAAAAATGCCGAAACGGAAATTTGAATAAATATGTATGGATTTTGCTTCCTTATTTGTATTGCATGAAAGCAACACACATCCACACGTATAATTTATTAATGACCTTTTAAAATATTCGGTTCGGCGCCTGCATCCTAGCGATACCACATCATATGCACAGTCTGCACTCTCTCTCTCTCGCTGGCAACTTGTGCATTCCGTGTGTACCATAAATATTTCGAAATTCAAATTACTTTAATAAGGGAGTGAAAGTATGCTTTAGTATGTGGCTGAATAATTTTTCTTTCGCGCTCTTGCTCTCGCTCTCGCTTTCTGTGTCTCTTGGGCTGAGATATGATATACAATCCCCCGAAATGGAAACTATTTCAGAATAA